CTAAGTCCCTTGCTCTCCTGGGGCCAGTCACAGGGAGGAACCATGGGGGGAGGGGGGGATGCGTTCTCTCATAGGCACCAGTATTCCTGATGGAGCTGCCTTACACAGACCCTCCCAGGGCTTGGCCACAGTCCTGGTCCCAGCCTCTGTCCCAGCGAGCATGAGATCCCGAGGGAGCCTAGGCAGTGTTGTGGGAGCCCCAGACTGTAGGGACGGTGATAGCCAAGGAGCAGAATACCTGGGGAGCCCTGGCAGGGGGGCTGGGACCCCAGTGCCTCAAGAGGTTCTGAGTGAGGGTCAGGCTCTGTTTCAAGGCCTCATTCTCCAGGGTTAGACGCTGAACCCTCTTCTCGGAGTCTGTCGCTCCCTGGAGAAGAGGGAAGCTCTCTGGGGTCATCTCAAAGACCTGGCCTCTCTCCTGTCCCCTCCTTGAGCCCCAACTGGTAGCCTTACCACTCCCAGGCGCAGTCGGCCCAGCTCCAACTCCTGCAGCTCAAGCTGCTGCCTCAGCTCTTCCAGCTGGGAATGGAAAGGGGTACAGAGTGGAGCACCTCCTTCCACCCCACCTCCACTCCCTGTACCTCCTGGGCCCCTCACCTGCCCAAGGATGAGCTGCTCCAGCCGCTGCCAAGCCCTCTGGTCCTCCTCCAATTGGGGCGGCTGCTGCCCCTGGGCCTCGCCTCTCAGTGAAAGGGAAGGGCTTTCTTCTAGGGATGTGGGTCCTGGGGTGGGGCAGACTCAGTTAGGACTGACTGAACTCTCCGACCTGAAGTGGGGGGGGCACCTCAAGAGCAGGGTGGGCCTTGGGACCTTGCACACAGGCCGCTCAGGTTCTGGTGGGCTTCACTCCCTCTACACTCCCTTTTCAACTCACTACTTCTCACGCACCAGCTGGAGTGGGGGCCTGCGCACCCGAGGCTGGCTGAATTCCCTGGGGTGGGCCCTGCCTCCCCCTTGGGATCCGAATCCACGCCAAGAGGGCCAAGAGCTGACCAGTCATGGTCAACAGCGGGGGAACATCACCAGGCTGCGAAGGAGATAAGAATCAGAATGTAGGGGGTTGGAGCGGGGACAGGGATGTGGGAGCCAGGACTCTGAGCCCGACTCACCTTGCTCAGATCCAGAGGGTACTCGCAGCTCTCTTCCGCCCCCAGCTGGACGGAGAGAAACTCCGCAAGACGCACAAGAGCCTCTTCCAGGGAGACCTCGGCCGCGCCGCCCTCCGCTCCGCGTCCCGACCCATCCTCAGACTCAGAGCAGCCTGTGAGGCCAGGTAGTGGAGAAGGTAGGCGTGTTGGGGCAAGTGCTGCGGGTAGACCACCAGATGGCACCTGCCAGGCCCCTCCCTTGCAGTGAGGTCACGGACACCTCCCCCAGTCTCGGACGGCGGGGTTCCCTCATGGTCCCCGGGACGCAGAGCTCCCGATGCATGACAGCACCTACCAACCAAGCCGGTCAACTCAGTCCACAGTTCCGCGGCGGACTGGTCAGGGGCGCGCCGGCGACCCCCCGTCTTGCAGCGGGCACTCTAGGGAAGGAGCAGGAAAGCCTCTGAGGAGAGGCCGTGCAGCCTGGGGGCCTCCCTCCCTCTGGGAACTAGGCCAAAGGGTTTGGGGTTGAGGTCTCTGCTTTCAACACCAGGGACGGGGTCCGCGGTACGGGCCCCCTCCACAGCGTCAGCACCTCGGAAACCTACGCTGCGCGGGCCTTCACAACCCTCTCTCCGGAAGGGGGTCGCCGGAAGCGCAGCGTCCGCCCCCGCTCACCTGGGCGGGGTCCCTGGGGTCGGCGGCCGCCGCGGCCCCGCCATCCCTGCGGAAGAGGCTGTAGAAGATGTAGATGAGCAGAGAGTAGAAGGCGTACATGGGCACGCGGGGCGGCAGTCGGCCCAGCTTCGCGCCGCCCCGGGTTCCCGCACCCGGACTCGGCGCCCGCCCGCAGCAGAGCCGGTGCGCATGCTCTGGGCATCCGCCCCCGCGGCCCAGCTCCTGCGGGCGGAGGGCGCGCGCCGGAGGATAGAGATAGCAGAGACAGGTGTCCCCGGGCCGCACCCGGGCGCCTGTCCCGTGCCTCCACCCCCGCTTCTCGGAGACCTCGGGCTGAGATCGTCTACGGCGCCCGAACACCCTTTTCTCGGAATTCCTCCCAGCCTTCCGCGGAGGCCCCCACGGCTCTCGCCCTTAGAACTGTCAGGTCTCGAGCGTTCTACCTCCCCTCATTTTACAGCCTCACCCTTCACGTCGCAGCCGTGCCCCTTCCTCTTTCTGCCCGGCCTCTCACAGCTCCTCCCAGAACTGCTCCCTTCACAGCCCCTTCCTCAGGCCCCTCCCCTCACAATCCCGCCTCTCACCACAGACCCCCACGGCACGGCTACAGTCGTACAGAAGCCCCTCCTCCCAGGTCCCGCCCCCTTGGCCCAGCTCGCCCTTCTAGAACGCCCCCTTAGCCTAGGCCCCGCCCTGGCCCCGCCCTCGGCCACTCTAGCCTTCGCTCATCTCGTTTGTTTGTGCTGGTCCTCCACAGGATGGGCGCGGAAGGAACGGCGGCCGCGAGTTCCCGCGCCGGAGGCTAGCTGCGGTCTCCCGCTCGCTGCTGCTTTGGGGCCGCGTGGCTGGGCTGCCACTGAAGAGAGCCATCGCTTCTTCCGAGCCGGGTTCCGAAGACGACGCCTCCCCGACCACGGAACAGGCCGAGCGGGCCTACGCGCGCTCCACGCCCCTTTCCAGCAGGCCCGGCGCCCCCACTTGGGTTCCGGGACCCCAGGGCTCACGCCTACTCAGGCCCCCCACCGCTTTTTCTTTTCCCCGCCAAATTAGGTTTTTCTTCCCCACAGTTGCATCCAGTGGCTTCAGAGCTCCGGAAAGTTTCGGATGAACCCATCTCAACATTTAGAAATGGGTCTCTCGAAACTGGGAGACCTGGAGAGCCGCCCTTAGGGCTCCGGGTCGCGGCTTCTTCGTTCTTTCATTCTCCAAAATTGAGGAGACCCTTCTCGTCTACTCAAACTCACTACTGCCGGAGGTACCATGGCACCCAAGCCGTGGAGTGAGTGGAGCATGGTGCTGTCCCACATGGCGCTGGGAGCGGTGTCTCTGCATGCAGCCGTGAGCACTGCCCAGGTGAGTACACAGGGTCTGGGTGGGACCTATCCCATTTCCAAACCCAAGGACCTAGCCAGGTAGTAGGTGAATCTGGGTACTAGGCTTCCATGAGACCTCTAGACCCTTTCCTTCTTAAAGGAAAGTTCTGGTCTCTTTTTCCCACATTTCTTCCCCTCCCTCTGTTGACAGGCAAGTCGAGGTGCTGCTGCTGGCTTCCTGCTCCAGGCCTTGGCTGCTGCCACCATGCTGACCCGAGGGCTGGGCACAGGTGAAGACTGTCTTGCTGGAGACTGGGTGGCCACTGTCATAGGCCTGCCCCTTCTGGCCTTCGATTTCCACTGGGTGAATGGGGACCGCTCCTCTGCCAACCTGCTCCTGGGAGGAGGCATGATGCTAGCAGTGGCTGGTGACCACCTTGACTCTGAGGGCCGATCTGTGGCTGGTCAGGCGGTGGTGCTGGTGGTGGCAGTGACCATCCTCATTGTGGCCGTTTTCACGACCAACACGTATGGAATGTGGGGGGGCGCGATGCTGGGTGCTGCAGGTCTCCTGAGCCGGCTGGAGGAGGACAGACTGCTCCTGCTGCCCAAAGAGGACGTCTGTCGCTGGGCCCTGGCTGCAGGCAGTTGGGCCTACCGTCGGGCCTTGCACACACAGCGCTTGCAGTGGGAGTGAGGGTCGGTGATAACAAGGCAGGGCATCTGGCCTGGCTACCACCTCCCCTCCCATGGGTCTACTCCTGGGTCCTCTTTCTCTAGGGATAAACTCTTCTGAAGTGGATTTGCTGCAGGATGATTGGTCAAGGGCAGAGTCTGCCCTTCCTCTAGTGGAAGGTGGGGACCTGCCTAGACAAGAATGAAGAAGATAATAACTAGGCACACTTTGGGGCTTGATTCTGGGCAGGCCATGGTTGTAGATCCAGAGAA